TCTTTCTCTTTCTCTCTCCACATATATATATATGTATAAAAGAAACAATAAATTTTCATTCGACTTTCTTCCCAAATTAATTATTATCCACGTTTTAATTGCCTCGTTGTAGTCTGGCATAAGTCAAGAATGAAGGATTATATTCATAAGTGAGGCGAATGCCGTAAGAGAAACTAGAAAAATTCTTTCTCGTAGGCGCATCGGGAGCAACGGAACTTCCGACACCAAGTATCCGCTTTTCCGTCACGTATTCGTGTGCCTTTAGATAGGCAGCGGGTCATAGCTTGCAATACATCGACATGACTATTGATGGCAGGGGCCGACGCATGAAACTCATGCGAAAGTAGCCAAGAATGACGTGTACAGACACAAACACTTCACGGAATACTATTTGGAATTCTTTCTACGACCCCATCGGGGCTTTGTGCGCATCCAGGCTTCTTCTTTTTGCCCCTAATCTCGCGATGATCGATTTTTTGATCCCAGTTTGTTGTTGAGAGATTTTTTTTCGATATGAAATTTTTTCCTTATTACTATTATTTTCTTAATACTGTTTAAGAGATTATACGATCATTTTAATCAATTTAAGAAAGTTTGCCAAAGGATAGAAACGGAAAGCTTCTTTAATAATTTTTAATTTTTGGAAAATTTGTGATTGACTATATAATTTTTTTGTATAGCAATTAGCAAAGACATGCAATATTTTAAATTTATAGTACGATAGATAATAAATTTATCAACTTCTTATGATTTTAGACACATTTTAGAAAAAATTACAATGATTGAATAATTTTATTAATAAAAACGATTGAAATATTTAAAGAAAATATTCCAATTATCAAGTTTAAAAAATGAGGGAATCAGGAAAATGGAGCGACTCGATGGAATGAAATTCGCGGTTTCCTCGCCCAGTTTCATCGTCAATTTTCTCAAAGTTTGCGCAACGTTGAACAATAACATCGACGAACGAACTTTTTAACCGTGCAAAGGCTGACATTTAACCGAGAGATTGCACGTGAGCATAAAGCCACTTAGGTCCCGTGAGAGAGATCCTCTGTAACAGGTCACTGCCATCGAGAGAAGCAAGCAGGTTGGTAGTTCCAGGTCTCTTTATGGGAGAAGGGGATCCCCGTTTTATTCCACGTACGTTTCTACCGACACAATCCACCACCAACTTACTTCTTCAATCCGTAAATCTGTTTCTCTCACGGCCTATACGATGCGACGTATTTACGTGTTGCAATTTTAAACATCGATGTATCCTTTAACAGTGAGAAACAACGATATTCTTCCATCGATTCTTTGTTTCCTCCTCTTTGAAAAAATATAACGTTTATTCTACGTGTATGTAATATAATTTATTTAATATTTTTTTAATTAACTAAAGCAAATCTTTCAAATTTCAAAAAGAATTTCGATCGATTCTCGTTAAAAATAAGAATAAGAAAACGTGTGTGAATAATTCGTGACAAGTTGCAAGTTTCATTGAAATCGGTATGCATCAGACTTAGCTTTATAAGGTTTCCCTTGTAAATGTCACTGTATCTTTTTTAAATTCCTCGACGGCTAAAAATGGAATCTACATTTACATTCCAAAATGGAGCGATTCCATCTCGAAATAAAAAAAAAAAAAAGAACAAAGAACTTTCTCTCCGCGTTTTCAGGCAAAATCAACGAATACTCGGTTTTGTTATTTCAACATTCCGACGAGTCACTTTTCCCTCAGGTTCCCTCAAGTTTTCAAGGTTTCGTCTCTTTTCTTACATTCCACCGGAATCATATTGTCCTCGCTCGTTCCCCAAGGCCAAGGTGTCGCTCCATTCAGGACGCGTAATCGTTGGCAACGGTAATCAAATTTCTGAATTCCATTAGATACGCGAATTTCATTATCCGACCACGATAGCCGGACCTACTCCACGGTACCGTTTCTCCACGTCCTACCTGTAACGGTTTGATCCGCGATCGAACAGCGTTCTGCACGATTTAAGGCCTCCATTCGAGAAATGTTCGAAATACTTCACGTTATGTATCTTATGTAAATATTTTATTCTTCTTCGATATCATGTGAAATCAAAGATAAAAATGATTAAAAAAGAGATGAAAAATGGTACTTTGGACTGAACATAAAGAAAAAAAGGATTTCTAACCAGGAATATTCGTTAGATCCCAATATTATAATAATTTCTTTAATTTTTCTTTAATGTTATTAATTAATATTAATAAATTTGTTTATTTGAACAAGTTCGAAATAATGTTTTATTTTTCTTTAAAATTACAAGAAATATTCTTCGTAAGAAATGGAATCTTGGTTTAAATTAGAAAAAGGATTTTTTAAATTTTATATAGAAGATCAGAAATGTTTATTAGAATTCAACGTGATTTTTCTCCAATCTTTCCTTGTAAAATTCGAGGATATAACAAAATAGAATAATAAAAGAAATATATACATAAATTTTCCTTTCCTATACTATACTATTCCGTGGTATATTTTACATAACGACTTGTGAGTAAAAACTTGCGAAATTCCAGAGAGAAATGAGGAAAACCACGAGTTAACCGAGACGCGTTAGAAATCGGGGGTAAATGGATCTGGCTTCTGCGGTGAGTACGTCTACACCGATGTAACTCGGTGGTTACTTCGGATTACGATGATTATGAATACTGGCGGTTCGATAGAAATTTCTCGAAACTTTTAAAAAAGATAAAAATTATTAAAAAAATTTCTATATACGAATCCCTTCGTCAAAAGAAAACTGAAATCGTAATCCAAGAGGAAATTCAGACCGAAAGAAAAACGCAACTGACCCAAGATTTATTCGTCTCCCTAGCATGAAAAACTTTCTATTCATTTATTATTCGTACAACAACTATAGATACCGAAACAATGCAAACCGGCCACTTCCTGCTCCGTTAACCATGAAAGCAATTTAACGAGCCACTGTACGTGATTCAGTGGACGTATGCCAGTCGGTTATCAAAGAAATTTTCGTCTCAAAACGATGCTAATGAATCGATGTGAATACAACTTGCAGGAAGAAAATGTGAGCTAATGTAAAAAATTAATAAAGTTGCATCGATTTTTTATTTTTCATATTTCATCAGAATGTTATATTCTACTTTACTTAGAATTAAATACAATTTAAGGGGAAGAACAATGAAAATTGAATATTTTTCAAACTTGAGGAAAGACGATTCATTTCTATTTTAATTTTAATCTTAATGATTGTGTAAATTAATTCAATTTGTGCTTTTAAATTTATATTTCTTTTTTATTTAATAAAAGTATTTCTAAATTATAACTTATAATTGAATTTTGAAAAAACAAGGAGTTAGCAATGATTAATTTAGTATTAATATTATGATAAATAAAAAAAATTTTCTAATTTTCTTTAAAGTGTTTTTTCTTTGTCGTTTTAAAGCAAAAATAAAGATCGTAAAACGTGGAAGCTAAAAATGGAATATATAATAATCGAAACATAAGAGGAGAAAATTATATTTTTTCAAGTTAAAAATTTTCATAATCTGTTGGATCATAAAATAAATTGTTTCGCAAGAAAAGGATCAATAACCTTTTTCTCTAAAATTAAAACGACAGGAAATACTTTCTAATTCAAACGATTAGAAAAAATTATAACGGTATTTTAGATAGAAAAGTATTGCGCTAAGATAATTCGTGGCAATTATGTAGCTATTGGAACAAGGAGGCGTAACAAAAGACAATAGAGATACAAAGGAATCCGACTGCAATTCGTGTTATGCGCATCAAGAAATGGATTCTGTCTCTATGAAACATTTATTTCATGGTCTTTCAATTATTTAAATATATATATTTGGAAACTTTTCCCCAAATCATGTATCATGAATTATTAAGTAAATCTTCCTCTTCACCATCCTTTATAAATTATCTTCAAATATTTATTTTTGTTCGAACAATAAAAATAGAAATTGTTATTAAACCGCATCTAAAACAGTTTGATAACAATAACAAACATTTATCTTAAAATATTGCTTCTATTGTTTTTTTTTAAATAGAATTCATAAATTAATTTATAATAATGATGATATAATTCAAATAGTTATCGTTATTTAAACAGAAATTGAATATTATCAATAAATATTTATTATAAAATATTATTTCATCTGAAAATAATATCCATTTAATTATTTTTATATAAAACAAAAATATTGCATTTAAAATGTCATTAGATTAATAAATATTATTTTAAAATATTACCTCAACTATTCCTTAATTAATTGAAGACTTTAAATTAGTCTAAAGAATGCATAAAGAGGATAAAGAAAAATAATGCCAATCTTTATTGTTATTAACGTTATTATTATTTTTGTTATTGTCAATATTATTGCTTGTTACTTGTTCCTATCATTATCATTAATCTGGCATCCGGCGCGGATATCAATATAGTGCACGTAAGTCAGGGTCAGAGATCAACAGAAGACCCACGACTCGAGGAGGATCGAGGTCTATAAAACGACGAATACAAAAATCATCCGCAAGCCTTTTAGAATTTATAAAAGCGGGGCAAATGAAACCTTACAATGATAAAGAGACAAAAGCTTCATAATTATTATCTCTTGTAATGAATCTTTATTTTATTTTCTATTTCAGTACGTGAACTTATTTTCGAAAAAACCACAGCAACGATTGAATTGAAAAAATATTCAGATAATATCGAGGAAACGTATTGATGAAGATGAAAATACTTGGAATTCAATTAAATTAAGGAATTGAAAATTATAATTGAAAAAAATCACATGATTTATAAATGACGTCTGTATACACATAATAATATCAATGTCTAGGTCTAAAAGTTTGCAAGTTTATCCTTTACGATCAAGTAAGTTTCCATAACGAACAAAGCACAATTTGTAAAATGGATTTTGTACGATTCATTTTTTTCAGGTTTTCATTTGCTCCCCTTAATTATTCGACGCATAAAATATCGTCGAGGCCATTTAGAGAATGGTACGATAACGATACGGTCGATTAATTAAATAATTTATTAGTTAACAACGAGTAAATCGACTCAGTATGGATGGAGAGCCGCCAAACCAAGTCTGGGGGGCTCTGCATAGCTGTGTCGATATCGACCCGGGGTGGGCACGATTTCCAAGGGTGGTCTCGCGCTGTCACGGTCTAAACCTGGATATCTCTCGTGTTCGGAAAGTTCTTGGTACGTGGTTGCCCTGGCGCGTACTTTCTCGCGTATTTCCTTCATGTGTGCGCGGTCACGGAAATCTCGAACCTGTGGGGGAAAAAAAAGCATATTAATAACTTAATAGAAGATAAAATCTTCAATTGAAGAAACGTATCATTGATTTAACAAGAAATAAAAAATAAAATGGAAATAAAAAAATTAATATCAATATCATATTGGTAAGAGCACATTGGTAACGTCATATGAATTTAACATAAATATGTAAAAATAAAAAGTTGAAGAAATGAATAGATAATTGTAAAGAATTTAAAGATAGTATTAGAAAAGAATATATTTGTAATTAAATTATATAAAATAGACGATCGAAAGATTAAAACGAAATATAAAATTTATCATATAAAATCATATAAAATCATGAAATATAAAATTTATAATATTGAAGTTTGATATATGAATTCTATAAGAATCAATATAAAATAAGGGTGAAGCGTGTATTATATATGTGAAATAGAAATGCGTTGAAAGTAATTAGAATAGCTCTACATATTTCTATTAACAATATCCGCGAATTGAATAATTTTAAGTAACTGTTATTTAAGTTACATATTATTTGCGAATGGTTAGTTACATTTATATTTGCTTATATCCTAAAATAGATTCACGAGCAAATAATATACCAGCAAAAGTGAAAATCCACTTTTCGTCATCGAGAGAAGCTATTAATAGTTTCTTACAAAATCAATCTTTTAGAAAGTGCAAACCCAAAGATGTCAATTAACTAATACTTGGAATCTTCGTAAAATTGAAGATCCTACAGTAGATTTGCAAATTTAAAATTTAAATAACAAAGTTAATATACAAATAATAATAGGAAGTTAAATCTTCCAAACTTAATTCGAAGAAAAATTTCTTCAACTTTCGCAGAATTGAAAATCTTGGAGCAAGAAATAATCAAAATTATGATATATCGATAAATCGATTAAAATTAAAAATTAGATTAGATCAAACATCCATCAAGGTCTAATCTTTTAAAAAACTCTTTGAGAGTTAAACGTAATTTCTCGACGACGCTATACAGGATTTCAAGGCAGAAATCTCAAGGAACAGAATGTGACGATCATCAGAGAGAGAAATCGTGGAATCAATGGTCATTACTTCTCTCGGATCAGCGATGTTCTTTGCTCTCGGAAGTCTCTTCCAACCGTTGGATTTTCGTAGAAGCTTCTCGGCCGAGGCCTCGAGATCTCTTGCTCCGCTGCTCGCTCCATCGCATAATGATGGGTTCGTGGCCGTGGTCGAGCTCTGTAAGAAACATCATTCTCCCGTTCCGATACCTCCGAATGATTCCGTCTGATCAAATGTTCGTGGCCAGTTGTCGAACTGTTGCTCGCCGGATGTTGACGACTCGGTTGTTCCTCGTGGCTCTGTCTTGCTGACTCAACCCTGTTGGTATAAAAAAATTCACACATGAATTAGTATCAACATTGATCAAAGTCGAGGAATCCTAGAAGATCGAGATGCAGTAGGGATCGTATATAGGAGATAGAAAAATGGAAAGAAATATATCTAAATTACTGATTTTTTTATATACATAAATGCTGAAATTAAAAATGGTGATAAGTAATTTTTTGGAAATTTTTTAATTAAGAAAACATTTTTTTTAATGAGAAAATTTCCTAAATGGATTTTTAAATTTTTCTAGAGTTAATGTATTTCATATTTCGTTGATTGAGCGTCCAATGAAAATTAATAGATATGAAATTAAAGAAAAGATTTTCTGCAAATTTCCAGACACGTTTGGAGAAGGTTGGAAAGGTACGTGTGCCAATTCCGAATTTGTTCCACTTGCCACGTACCAGTCCTGACAGTTGCTTTTCGCAAAATAAATCGACAGGAACGTTTGTCAACTTGTTTGAATATTCTAATCCATCTAATCTTTAAGAATAGAATCTTAAACAGGTTCAGAGTAACGAGATAATTTTTCATAGAAATCAAGTCGAGCAAAACTATTGAGATGTATATCCTCGACCTCGTGTTTTGAATGAGAGATGCTGTCAATGGACCGAAGCGTGTATCTACGAAATAATCATCGACTTTTCAACTATTTCGTGCTTCGAGACCGTTCTCCAGCTGGTTGGACAGCTTTTACCCGAGATTGACACCGGTGATTGCTGGCCCAAAACGAATGTCAGCCAGGGAAAAAGCAAAGGCAACCGCGTGGCCTTTTAAAACTAGTCTTTCTGGTCGGCTCGAGAGAAAATGAGAAGCGGCAGGGAACGGTCCTCTCTTACAATGGGATCGGTGCACAGATTCTCTGGATTAGAAAACGAATACCCAGAACTTGTTAAGATCGACGCTTACCATAATGACGGTTGTGGTACTGAAAGCTGTTTTCGATCGACTTTGCACATACCTTGACTTTTTACTTTTTATTCGATGATGTATCGGGTTCTTTTCAATTTCAAGGCTTTCTAACCGGATTGTTTTCAAGGAGAGAGACATCGACATGCCATTTTGTGACGCTTGCATCGCTTCACAGACTCGAGCAATTTTGAAAAACGCACTTTTGAAACGACATTTTTTTATTGCATTACGAAATAATATCGTAAATTTTCTTCAGAATTATTTTGCAAAATTTAAAATAAAACCCAGATCTGCTTCGCGATAATCCAAGAATTGAAACAAATAGGAACAAATTTCCTACCACTTCCTCCATTTATATATTCTTAAACAAATTAAATATCTCAAAATAAATAGATTGAACGGACAAATTAAAATAAATAAAAAAATCTACACATATCCTTAGTCAAGATTTAAATTTGTTAAGTAGGTTTATACGCGGTAAAATTACAGTTTTGTATACAATTTTATAGTATAATAAATTTAATGGGAATGCGAAAAGAAAACGAATACGTGGCAGAAACATTTAAAACCGTACCTGTGAACAGGATGACTTTCCACATCTCTCTGTCGAGAAAGAACAGGCCTTGCGATGGCCTCTCTCTCCATGGCTCGGAACATCTCCTTGGCATCTTGGAATCTCTCTCTGGGACTGGACACCTCGCAAGGATTGATTCTAGGCTGATACTGAGGGCTAGGCGACCGTTGCCTGAATTCCGGTGCCCTGCGACTTCTATTGCAACTCGGTGAAACACCTCTGTTCACCTGGCTGGCCAATCTTTCGGGACTTCTGGCTAATCTTGGCAACGTTAGACTTGTTCCAGTCGTTTCTGTTTCCGGTAAATAATCGTTCTCTTCTGCTGGCGCTCCCCAATCGTCGTCTGAAACAAACCACGAATCGTTTCAGAGAGTTATTCGAACGATGAATCGAACGAAAGAGATATTTATCGATAATTATTCATCAATAATTGAACGTATGGTCTGATAAAAATTTTTTTATTATTTATTAAGTTTGAATAGGAATGGAATGATCAAAAAACTGTTATATATAATTTTCTTGTTTTTCTATTTAGCGTTATTTGTTGATTTCATCTACTTTTTTAATTATATCTGATTTTAATTTCTTCGGCCAACTAATTCATAAAAATCGGATAAAGATTAAAATTAATTGCTAAAATCAAAATCTTTTATCCTAAATTATCCTAAATTATTTCGATTATCCTGCAACAAACAACAAAAGCCCAAAATTATTATAAATACAGAAAATCCAAAAGCAAGAGAGATAAATATATTTTTCTCTCGCATACGAACGTTGTAGAAGAGAGTCAAGATGCGTCTTTCTCTTGCGCAAAAGATCAGGAGAAGACCAATATGTCTTGTTGTCAGTTGTTTGGCGGAAGATCGGAAAGGTTGGAAGAGAAGATGGAAAAGGCAGGAGGAAGGCGGAAGAGGCCGAAAGAGGAGTCAGGCTAACAGCTGCCTCGGGCTGTGGGCCGAGAATGCGGAACTTTATTCCCATTTTGTTGACCTTCCACGAGGTCAATTTCCATGCGAATTCATTAAGTATATTCCGAGTATGACGTATATCTCGTCAATCGTCATCGTTATCATCGTTGTGAGCTGGATGATGGTTAATGGCAAGGGACACGAGGAGAATGGAAGGCTCCTCATGGAAATCAGCCTTTCGAGAGTTGTCGCTTTGCGTAATCCCGTGGAATGCTGCAATGGGTAAAAGTTAAAAGGCAAAGTGCCCGAGGTTCCTCTGAATATCATCGACGACGAACCTTGGCTTCTGAGAAGAGATCGTTCCACTGTTCTCGTGTATCGTTTTGATCGATTTTTCTCGATCGTTCTGCCATTCGTAATGGATTGAAAGTTGTGATTGTTACTCGATGATGGAAGGCAATTGAATTGGATTACGAATCGTAATCATTGGATCATAAAATTCTATTGAAATCGAGCATCAACTGTCAATCGACATAGTATATTTCTAGCAAGAAGAAGAATTAGGAAATAGATAGAAATAAATAGCTGACATTTATATAGTTATGTTTCTATTTGTGTTAGCGTTTCATTCGTTCATTTACAAATTATGATCGATTAATATTTCTCTAAAATTAATTCAATCTCAAAATTTTAGATAAATTTCTAAATTCTTCTCAACGACAAATAATATCTAAAATCATTCATTTTAAAAGTTTAAAATCTTTCGAGTTAAGATCACTGATACTTTTGTCCCTTTTTAATTAGAATTAAAATAAGTCAATACGATACATAATTAAAAAAAAAAACTTTAAGATACGATTATTGCCACTAAACTCTGCAAATACATTCCTACGATAAAAAAAAAAACATCATTCACATCATACGCGACATTTAAAAAAAAAGGAGAAAGAAGAAATAGCTATTCAATGAAAGAATCTATAAAACGTTATTGCTTTTCGTTCGACTCGATGATCCCACAGCCAAAGCTTGTGCCAAGTATCTTCAGAACGAAGTAACATATCAAAAGTAAAGCGGCTACCGAATGTGGCGATAAATTAATCGTCTTAATCAGCGGCCGGAATCTTGCGAGCACGGGATAGTTTCACGCGATGCATCAACGCGCGAGAGGCGATACAGAGAGCCACGGATCGTGAGCAAAGTGTGCCAGATCGCGAACAAGCCAGAAGCGCCGCTTATATGGAGATACGAACGTGGAAATCGTGATCGAGCCATGTCCTCGAGACACCTGTTGCGAAACGGGTTCCTATATGGCCAGTAAAACACCAATGATAGAGGAAAAGATAGATGTTATGACCCATGGATGTTGTTGGTAAATCAACACCCTATTTTCATATTTGTTTTTTTTTATTTTTTTATTTTTGCTTCATAGTAGTGCATCTTTAATCTTATTTTTTTAATATTCACTTTTATTAGTAAAATTTGGTAATGGATTTTGGTTATGTTGCTGGTTTGTCAATTTCTATGTTATTTCCTCTATGGTACAAAATTATGTGACAATAATGTGACAAAAATAACATTTGTATTTCTGAGTTGAGAAATTTTTTTATCATATTTATTTGAAACTGTATCGGGTGATCGAATGATTCGCGTGTTTCATTATTAAAAGAAATTTAAGACGATTTAATATTGGATCGTAATTTCTAGATAGATCGAGAAACTCTACTATAAATTCTCCTCATTTACATGAAATTTTATCGAAGTATGTAATTCTTGCAATTCATCTTTTTTTAGATTTTAGAATAAACTAGAGTTCGAGGAAAATTTGTTCGAGTATAATTTATATTCGTGTACATTTAAAGTATTAAAATACACGATGTACGATGTATGTAGATATTTATTAGGATGATTGTATAATAGACACTATAGGTAAAAAGATTAAATCGAGCCCGAAAATCCAAGAAAGATTAATAGCGAGTCCCCATAAAAAATAACATCGATGATAACTCGCTTTAGTCGGTCAGTGGCACATTTAGTTAGGAAACATCGCATAACCACGTGAAAAATCGTGTAATTATTTCGTGTCGTGTTGTAAATCAATCAAATGATTCTCGTTCCATTCACGATTTAATTGTCTTGAACAAAGAAACAGTTATTCGACGCTTGGACATATTCTCAATCATAACATTTAAATTTTACTCAACTTGTAGACTATAACTAATGCAAATTGGACAGGAAGAACGAATATCTTAAACTATAGATAACTAATGTAAAACTGGACAGGAAGAACGAACTATCGTATTTTGAAATTAGAATTTTTATCAGATTTAGTCAGATTTGTGAATATTTCACAATAATTCGATATTCAAATAAATTCATCGAATCGATGTATTTATCTTATTTAAATCAAGGAACATAGTAATGTTATACCGACATCAAATCTTTATCGAATTTGGAAAAATATCAATTAGGAATTTATTCAATGTAACTTTATTAAAAAATCTAATTATAAATCCAAAACAATTTAATTCGTTAGATTAAAAATTTGTTTCGAGTCTTAAATAATCGGTAAAAACTCGCTTCCTTTTAAATAATAAACATTAAAAACTTCTTTGCTTAATAATTTATCATAAATCATAAGTTTTTTTCTTTTTTTACATTCATTTGAAACGTTTAATCTTTTTTAGTTATAATAATATTATAATATTATATTATTATATATCGAATAACACTAATCGATAAACAAAAAGAAAATATATTATTTATGTAAAATAATATTTTGTTATTATAATTCCCCTATTTTCTCATAATTATATCCATATATATATATATATATATATTTTAAAACTAAAATATATCATTAGATCAAGTATCATCATCCGTAATTCCACATTCTCGTACCTCGTATCTCTTTCTTATATAACTTTTTCCTATAATATATGGCAATGTATTATCATAAATACATTATTGATGATGTATCATTCATAATTCTCCAATTTTCATTTCATTTTTTATAAAACTCACTTAAAAAATAAAATGATTCATCTAATGAAATATATCATTAAATCATGCATCATCGTCCACAATTCCATATTCAATTAATTAACCTCATCCCTAATACACGTATTATATATCAGCAATTCATCATATCATTTTTACATAATTACAATTATATAAAAAAAATTTTCTCAGATTTTATATATACAATAATTATCGTCCATGTCCTTAAATCCTTTCCCAATACGTACTCTGCTTGGCCAATACATCACGCAGATACGCAACAGATAGTCCTAATCGGATGACAGACATCGAATTAGCGGAACAGGTACACGCCACCTGAAACCGTGTAGCGATTCGAGTAGCAGCGCAGCGTCTCGACATCGGGTCCTGGTGTCGAAGCGGCTTGATTTTTGCGACAGAGAGCCCTGGTAAGATGTATGCGTGTACCTGTAGGCCGCTACCTGCCGCTGACACGACGTCCTAACGGTATTCCTTCCACCGTAACAGGTGCCCAATACCAACGTCCCCTCTGTGCACGTACTTATAACGACGAAGTCAGGTCGACGTATAATATACAGTATATCTCCTCTTTCTTTTTTCTTTCTTTCTTTTTTCCCTTCTTTTCTTTATCTTCGTCCGCGAAATTTATTCGATTATTCGTTATATGGGTCAGTCGTCCGTTCAAAAACACGTTCCACCACGTGAGACAGGAGAACGCGTTGTATGGCGAACGAGAACGAGCCGATTTTGACGTTTCTTCGATCCTTGGATATTTCTTATAAATTTTAACCACGATTAACAACTTGTCGTTTTAAAATTTAATTTGATAGATCAGAAGAAATATTATTTAATCTCGAAAGCAACGATTTGAAACAATTAAAAGTAAGATGAAAGAGAATAAAAGGAGGGGTGTAAAAATATGTCGGAAATTAAGAATAAAATTATCGATATTCTTTAGACTTCGTTTTCGTGAAAATCAAATACCTTGCATGATTAGAAAGTAGAATGTTAAGACCTACTCTCGAGGCAATAAAATCAAGAGGACGGTCTTTGGTAACAAATAGAATATTGATTAAATGGAGAAACGTTTCCGGAAATTGAAATAGATATATCGACACCGCTTTAACTATCATTACCATTATATAAAACAACGCGTAAAAGTATAACAGATTGGCGATTCGAATGACAAATTCTACCGCGATTAATGATTAAATATCAATCTTTGATTTTCGATCGCCGATTAAAAATTAAAAATACGGAAGAGTTGCAGAAGCACGTAGATACGTATTTTCGTATCGCGGATCGGTCAAAATCGGGCAAATGGAGAAAATGGAGAAGAAAGAGCACAAGTTCGAGTCAAAAGGAGGCGTGGAGAGGCAAGTTTCCAAAAACGTAACTTTCTCCGATATTGATGTATGGTTCAACAATTTGTCGGCACGAAATTCCAAAGAAGAATCGTCGCCGACCGATTCGAAGTGAAAGCAGATGAGAGAATCGGGTGAGATGTTAGAGGCGCGTTTGCATTCAGCTCGAGGAGCAACGACGCGGACAGAGAAAAATCGAAGAGGAGCAGGACGGGTGGACGACGAAGAGGAGGGAACGTGTACGAAGAAACGATTTTTCGTAGCACGACGAGAAACTGGGTTACCGGGTCGCCTTCCGCCCGGTTTTCTACGAGCACCGATAAGATTCGAGGCGGAACACACGCGGCCACCTGTTCCACAGGTAGAAAGCGTCCAAATTTTTGTCATCGCCACCAATCTTCCGGATCTCCTTTTTTTTTTACTTCGAATTTGCCGGCTTTTTCGTCGCGATCGAAATTTTGGAGAAAGTCCTTCGCATTTTCTTTTTTTTTTTTTTTTAGTAACTTTAACCGTCCTAATTGAATCGTCATTTATTATTTTTTTTTTAATAGAGAAGAAAATATAAATACGAATAGAATATTAATTTGAATTTATTATATATATTTTACAATTATGTTTTAAGAGTTAAATATAATATTCACATAAAATTATTTCCAAAATTATTCGTTTAATTTTAATTTGTTCCAAAACATATAGATGAGAGAATTTATACTTTCTTCTACTTATATCTCGAAATATAGATAACAGAATAATAACGAAATCATATCATAAGAATAAATCGATAATTAAGCGTACAATAAACAGTGGGTGTAGAAATTCAAGATTATATAACTTTCCGTATAACTTTCAAAAAATTCTTAAATGACGGTAAAAGCAGAATGACCAAGCATATTTAACCTGTCATACTTATAGGTATATAAGACCAGGAATACAAGACTCGTTCTTATCTGATAAATTTCTGTAAATCTGTGAGCAGAAGCATTGTCAAAATAATTACAAGAACACGCAAGTACATATCGAGCGGAAAGTTTTCACAGTTGTATCGTATGGATCTGGAATCTTGGTGATTCGAATAAAAAGTCTCGACTCGTGGTGGCAAGGAGAGGAGAATAATCGCGCGCTATTGTCGTCTAATTGCCAAGTGGAAAGCGGCTCGAGCGTTTTCCTAGGAAATTAGGCGATCCGGTTGAACGCGCCATTACGCCCGCTAAACGATCGCGCGTCGCTCGATGCTGCACGAAAGTGAAAGTCCTCCACTTCTTGTTTTCCCGATCCCTCTCGCCAACCCAACCAAAATCGATCAATCGTGTTGCGCTTCCTTATGAAATTAAATCTCCCATTTCTCGAAAGTGTTTACACGAGTTCAACATTCAGTGTTTCAAGGATCGTGCTCGATCGTGGTACGTGTAGATCCTTGTAGAATGAAAGGAAACTACGAGGTAGTCCGTGCTTGTAATAAGTAACGGGGGTGCTTCAGAAACGACTGTTCCATTTAAACGAAAGTTTGCACCGTGTATCTACTTAATCGTAAGATGAAATTTCAATTATAAAATGCGTGTAAAGTTTGTACGTAAGATACGTACGAATATTCGAACGGAAACGTGTCGTGAAAATTAAAACACTAGTTAAAATTATTAGATAATTAGAAACGTAATATCTTTATATTGAAAATCTACGAAAAGTAGAGAAACACTTTATTGTTCGTATATAACTGATACATCGGGATAATTGATAATTATTAAAACGTTGTAAGCGATCGAATTATCGCGAAATCTAGAAAAATGATCGAAACGATCGAAAAGAATCTTTTGGAAAATTTATTAGATATAAAAATCTGTATATTCTTTCTTAATTTTTCAACAGTTTAACATTCCTCGCGCATCTGTCAATAATATTTCCATTAATCTTTTTTAAAAAAACTATTCAAATTTACACGCGATATCTACGTGATTATGTTTATTATGCAGATACAGATATATGCACGTCTTATCGATCCACGTGTATATACGTATTATATAATTTCGCGTAAAAACCACAAGTGTCGAGGCAAACGATTTTCATTCAAACAACGATCCGAAACGTGTTTACTTTTCTGAATGAAGAACATTTCAAAAGCGGTGGCGCGAATATCGTAGCAGCAACGAAATCCTTGCATCACGGGTTGCAAAATATTTTGAAACTCGCGCTGAATAACAGCGCCTCGTCTTATATGGATCACGATTCCACTAGCGAATCGTAATTGAACGTTATGAAACGAACGAGTCCCTCTAATTGCCTCTTCGGACAATTTGCTCCGGCTGAGAAGCAACCGAGAGTAAATTTAATTTCAATTACTCGAGAATCGAGATTTTTAAATAAATACGTATCGTTCGCACCGCGGTCACGGTGAACACTCGCGCTTTTCATTCGCGATAAATTTCACAGCTTGCTCAGCATGACTATCGAGAACGTAACGCCTCCATGCTGTCGTAATTTCTTCCCTCTCGCGCTATTTGCCAACGTTTTCGTTATGGAAATTTCAAAATTTCACGTGACATCTCGCTCACGATAAATTCGCGATACCGATTCGAATATATAAAATAAAATTTGAAGAGTCTCGTGGGTAGTAACGTGACTCGTGATCGTGAATTTGTTTGGAATTGTGAACGAATTATGACACGAAATTTTGACCGACTTGACGAGTCACGATGACGAGGATTTTCTTACAGTTATGCTAACTTGGATGAAACAGACTGAACCTTCGAATCTTTTCCTTTTTTTCTGGCGTTAATACATTGTTGATTGCTTTGCAATTAAGTCGAATTTCGGCCTTCTTATGGCTCGATGTTTGTAAAAATGAAGAAGCATAAGAAGAGAAAGCAAAGAACCGTCTGATTAATTCGCAACTAATTTATTATCGAATCATAGATAACATCGTAATTCGATAACAATTTCAATTAGTGTTCAATTTATATTATCCACTTTAATTAATTATACCTATTTAACGATATAATATTTAATTAATTATTATTTAACCTTCTACGATAAACGCGTAGATACGAGTTAAAATGAAAGCGCGAACTCTAAAATTAGTTAGACAGTAGTTTCGACGATGGATTTTCACGAGATAAAATATAATAAAGCGTGGTTAATTATCCGCAATAATTATTGATCGTTTAAAAATACGAGATAAGAAAGCACTTACCCGAGGAGGAATCTCTGGAAGGTCTGGAGGGTCTGGGGCCCAAAGGATGATGGGTCTGATAGGGCGGGGGAGTAGCGGCGCTATCCGATCCTATCCCGCTGCTCGCAGCGCTTCTCGTGCCTCCCCTGTCGATCGTAGTGCTACCGCCCACGATCGTTTGATTCAAGCAACGTCTGAACTCGATCCCGGCCAGATTGCCTCTGTGTCTGTGCACGGTATCGTAATCTCGCGGAGGTAGCAAAATTGGACCCACGTCGTTGTCACCCGAGTTCCCTCTGCCTGAAAACAAGCAAGTCGAGACTGTTGCTTGAATTTTTCCATCCAATTTCTTATTTTCTAATTTGTAATTCTTCTGCCTTTATTATTAATCGCGTCCCATTAAAATATACTTCGGTTGTACTTCAATGTATACGCGATTTATATATTTATGCGAACAAACTTTGAAATGTAGAAAAAAAAGAATTATAATTTTGTATTTACAGTTGCAGTGGAAAATGCAGACACGGTTGAACTTTGAAATGTAAATGAAATTATAATTTATGTGTTACACGGTGCAGATTTTTCGCATTTGCAATTGCACTTAAACACCGATTGAAAATACAGATAAAATTTACAATTAAAATGTTAGTTGTAGGATTGCAATTTTACGTACACATGCAATTAGCACAAGTCGGTATAACTTGAAATTGAATCCTTTTAAAATACACGCGCGGTGCAAAATTTTTAAAGTTATTGTAATTTGAAACGCAACTGCGTTTTTTTTTTATAACGAAATATAATTTCAATTTCGAGTAGATAGGATGTTTCTACGACGTTTCTAGGACGCAATTCGAAGAGAAGAAGAAGGAAGTAACTCGGAAAGGGAATACTCACCCAGCTTGGCACGCAATTCCGCAGCCAAGGACTCGTATATCGTGGTGGTCTGCACGGAATCGTGTCTGAGTTCACCGCTACCTTCCGACGATTCCGATTCCCTGGTGCTTCGACCGTCGCTCCCTAAATTGCTACGAGCTCTGCCCTCCACCGAGTTCACCCTTGCCAAGTTGTCCGTGTGCGACGCCAATGCTTTCAACTGGCCGCCAACAATTCGGCCGTTTCCACCGAGTCGCATCTAAAGAATGAAGAGAATGGAATCCGTAAGGAAGGCAGCCTTCGTGCCATTCGGATCATTCGCTTGAAAATTGTTATCACTCGATGTTAATTCGAATATAAAGAAATTAAGAAAATTTGGGAGAATTTTACAAGATCGAGCAACTATTGACTGATTTATACGATCTTGGTTGTTCTAATGTTTTAAATATTTCATTACATTATCTCTATAGAGTAGAAAAAGAAGTCAAGGCTAAGCTTCGTAATCCCTAGTTTCCGTTCTTTTAAATTCTAATCACCCGGCATTGGGATAACGTTCACCGTAATCGATGACCTTTATTTATTATTTTCCATGAACTCGGCAAGAAATCGCGGCCAGCACGAATGAACCATTTACCTGGTTTCGATCGAAACCGCCGATTCACGAATTCAATGCCAACGTTGTATAATCCACGATTCCATTACGTATGGTAAATCGTTCCACCATGCGAGAGGAGATAAAAGAATGGAAGAGAAGAAAAAAAGAAAAAGAGGAAAGAGAGGAAGCAATAGTGGAGAAACACGAGACTCTTCTCACGAGATGAAGGAAATACGGGAATTTTCAATGCCAAGGCTGTTCTCTTGCCGATAGGATTAACACGGTGCGAACACCGTCTCAAGAATTTATTATTAGCGACCCGTTAGAATCGCGCAGCTCGTTAATTAGCGAGACAAACGATGCCTGAGATCTGAATGAAATGGCTGCATACCTCGATTCGTCTTATCCGCTTTGGCGGATAAAAAAAAAAGAGGAAAGAAAGGAAGGATTCGAAGAGGGATTTCTCCGTTCTTCGAACTCGCTGACAACGGTTAACGAGGAGATAGAGAAGGAAATTAACGCGTTTCGATCTCGGATCTCTCACGACGATCCATGCAATTGGTAACGCGCCTCGTTTTCCGGATAATTATCCGTTAATTGGTACTAATGCGATCAGATTGCGCCAACTGGTTGCTTCGCGCGATATACTCTTTAATTAGATACTCTTTAATTTATGATAATTTATGATAACACGAATCAAGAAATCCGATATTTCGAGGAAAGAAATGTCGTCCAAAAATTCTAGACGGTCGAGGTTAATTGAATCGTCGTTTTGTTCTTTTCACTTCATACCTCGATTGGTCATCTTTCGTTCAATTCGAATTTCAATTCGAGAATTAAATTATCTTACAATATTGCCGTAGCTAAGGCAATAAACTAGATTCTAATCGTTCGATTCGCTGTTTCAATTATCATACGAATAAGAGAATGGCCGATGAAGAAATTGCAAGAAATTACTCAAATAAAGAATACGAATACGAATGCATCCGACCTACGATTATGCTACCACCTTTTCCAATTAAAATTCAACCGATATAAAATGATAATACGATGGAATATAACGAAACGTTGAAGGCGAGGAAAAATGATTAAATGTATAATGATCTTGAACGATTAAAATCTCGAACGTAATCCCGCGCTGTTCGGTCAAAGCGATATACAATTCTAAAGATATTCTAGAATCTAAAGTGCTTTATATATAGAACGATGCAAATCACTTGGTATTATTTCGAATCTCTCGTCTCTGTATAAAGTTTATGACGAGACTTATTCCAGCCTCGTCCATCCTATCATCTGATCGAAAAAGAAAAAAAAAAAAAAAAACAAGTCTCACCGTGTAGAAGAACGCTTAAAGTTTCAAATCTTCGGTATACCACGTTCGAGCTTTATATTTCTCTTGAAACGTCCAACCGAGCAGCCTCGCGGTATAATCCTTACATCCGACAAGGGTAGAAGAGAATAGAAGATAGAAAAGAAGAGAGAGAGAAGAAAAAATATGATTCTCAAGTTTCTGGTAACCTGTACGCGTGCACGTGGACAGGATTGTTGGTGGCCGGATTTGGAAGCAGAAGAGTTGCGGCGACGACGTCCTCTCGTTGCACGGCCGCAAGTACAGCGTGTCCTGGCACTAAATGCTTCACAGCCGACCTGGTCGAGCCGCCTGGATGGACCGTCTGTATAATCTTCAGCCCCTTGTTGCTCACCTGGCAATCGTAAAATCGTGTACGATCAGCTGGTCGCCGATTTAACGAGCAGCCCCGTTTAACGGTGATTTGACGCGGGCCAAGCATCGACGATGAGTTACACGGGCACGGAAACGCGCGGCATTATTGCGTACTAAAATGCAAATCGACCGATGGATCGTATATAGTCGCGAGGATCGTGCTACTTCCACGCTTGTAACGCATCGGTGAGCCGGGTTTTAATCAACGTTAAACGTCGCCTCGATTTTATGCTTCAAAAGGAGACGCGGTCTTGAAAAACTGTGGGGGAATGCTAGGTTATTAATTTTTTTTATCTTTCCTCGGTTATGTGGAGACCTCCTTCGGAATTCACGTATTTCGTTCTTGATGTTTTTCTCGCAATTGTGCAATGGATCAGTCGTTTTAACAAATATTTGAAATTGCGATGAATAATCGATGAATTCATAGTATAATAACAATTTTTAGATAGATACAATTGCAATAAGTTTCTATTCAGTATTTTCAGCTTTTCGATCTACATATTCTTTCATTTTTCTTATTTCGTAGAGAATATTTTAATTGACGTTTGCATCGATTCATTTATATCATCAGCATTTCGAATATCCTGTTGATACATTCCAATTCAATGTCAGCGATAGTCATGAACGTATCGATAAGCAATAATGTTCGATAAGTGAAGTTGTCATCGGGAACAAAGAATACTTTCCCCGTAACAATAACAATAACGATACTCTGTCTTTTGCATATGAATGCGTAAAAAGGCAATTTTCTTTTGGAAAGCAAATAATAACAGCAGAACGATGAAAGTGAACACGAAAAAATGAGACTTTCTCTATTTTACGATCAAACTTTTAGGAATGTGCGTACAAGCATGTCGATGATTATTGTCTGCCAGGGCGTTAAAATTGCCTGCGTATCCTTTCATTAATGATCGCGAAGATCTATTAAAAATCAAAGAATAAACTAATGAATAACTAATTTTCGTCATAACCGATTGTTAACGCGATACAATATCGCGGAGAAATAATACCTGGAATTTTAATTCGATACTTTACACGAGGAATAAATTTCTAATTTTCCATTCTTCTCGAAATTGAACATTTTCCTGAATAATAATTGTGACGAGATTATTCTTGATTAAAATAGATCAAGTAAAATTGAAATTTCGGAAAAATTATACTTATTAGAATGTTTTTATAAAAACATGAAAAGACTAAAAATAACTTCAAACCACTGTGACTATTAACGAATTATTAATAGTTTAATAATTAATTAAGTAACAATATAGCTTCTGATAAGCTAATGATTTATTATTATAAAAAAAAAAACATCTTGCATCGAGTTTTAATTATCCAATTTGATTAAAAAAATAATTACAAAAAAATTGTGTATTTTTTTCTTATTTAATAGCATGCGAAAAGTTTTTCACTGAAATACTGAAAAATTCTAAAACTTTTTTTAATATTTCTTTGAATTAGACATTATCTTTACTAGATCTTTAAGAAAAATAACGAAAATTGAACATTTCTAAAAAACAAAATACAGATTTCGAGTTTTAAGTTTTTAAAACGACCTCTTTTATATTTCTATCCATACACATCTTTGATACTGGAAGAAAATTACAAAATCCAATGCTGAAACGAACAATAATCAGTCCCTGTCCTCGCGTCTGCGGTTTTCAAGAAATCGGTCGGGAAGAAAATGACGTGGGTAATTTTCATCCAACTGGAAGACTGTTCATTAAAACTGTCGCGAACTGCCATCGCGAAAATTCGGCGAGTTAAAATATTCTCAAGGCAAGCGATCTCTCGCAACGGGTACCGACAATTACACTTGCACAATAATTAGCTGGGCCTTTTGCGGGATTTTGTAATAATTTTATATTTTTTTTTCCCCTCCCCCTTTCCTCTTCTCTATATTCTCGTTTTTCTGTTTCTTTCTGTCAGACAAGCATGCCCGCCGTGAATTAACACAACGCCTAAATCTACGCAAAAGACCTTCCATTAAGATTGAACGAGGCGATACGAGAACACCTTTGTTTTCCACGCGATGAAGCTTCGACGAGTTTCTTCGCTCTTAAACGTGTGATAAATTACCGAATAATAGTCCTTGGACTACGATTCCAAGAGATAATTTTTTTTTTTTTTGCGATAGAAATTACCTGTGACTCACATCCTGATTCGAGAATTTTGTCGATTCAAAAGTATTATATTTTTGTGTTTGATAAAAATTATTTATCTTTATGCATATAAAGAGCAGCTATCTTTAGTAAAAAAAAAAAAAAAAAAGTCATTTTTTGTAAATTTTGTATCTAAATCTAAAATAGTTAATTATAGGTATACGTTTTATTCCGATTATATTTCTTAGTTCGATAAAAAGTAACACTAATAACCTTTTTATAAATTTTTAACAACTGTAAATAAAAAAAAATAAAATTATTAAAAATAAAAATATATGGTTTCGTTTAGAAAACAAAAAACACGTGAAAATTTTGAAAATACGTACACATTTGTTTACTATAACATATTCGAATAAAGTATAAAAATTCTAATATTGAAATATTTTTTTAAACTATCTATAATTTGATAAGATAATCGATAATAATCCAAATATTAAAATATATCCTATTTATATCATTCTATTTTCTTTATATTTTTCAACAATATTCACAACAATTTAGGTGAAAAAAATAAAATTCAAAAATCATATACATACATAGGATTTCACGTACATGATCAGAGAAGAAATAATTCAATAATGCTCGCACGAAATAAAGAAATAATTTGAAAGCAGGGATAACGTGATGATTTTTAAATCGGACATGCAACCCTCTTTAGCAAATTTCAATTGGCATGCAACGGGAATGTCGAGTAACATGCCAGCTTAACGGTCGCGATACAATTTCGGTGTCATCCATTTATTTTCTCTTTCCCATATTGAACGCGGATTGTGTATCAGCTTCGTGCCCATTTCCGTAACATTCGGGTCAATGAATCTTTTATTGCTCTTATCTAATTAACCTCACTCCATGGGATCTCTTATTAATCTCAGTTTAATTGTATCTTTGACCCTGGGAAATTACATTAAGTTTGATTTATTTAAATGGAGTAATACAGAGTAATTCAGAGAGGGTTTCGTAGAAGAATGAGTCGAGAGGAAAGAATACAATTTTTTTCGACATTTATTTTTTCGAGAAAATCGAGTACGGATATTTGTCAAATTTGTCAAATTTGTGTATTCGCTTGTGTATTCAAGATGAGACACTATTCGTTATTGTCAATTAATCATCAGCAGAAATAGATCATGATTGAAGATTGATGGAATAAAATTTTTCTATTTAATAACTAAAGAAAATTAAATTTGAAGACAGGATACAAGAATATCATCTTAGATTATATTTTTCAATTTTGATTTTCTTCCAAAAATAAAATTTTGAGGAATAAAATTTTATTCCAGATTTTTCACTTATGTTAAGTACGTACGATAACGTCTTACCAATAATTCATTCATATCTAATCGCTTGAAAACGAAACGAAACGAAACGAAGAAACTTTATTTTCATCCTTCTCTTTTTCGATTTGTTTTTGCAAGTCTCTCTTTGCATTGTACAATTAAAATGAAATAATCGAAATAAAAGGAAGAATTATCGATCATCGAAAATTCGGTCAATAATATATAGGCAAAGAAGAATTGGTTCACATAGAAAATTTTCTGATGCAATAATTGCTCGTGGCATGTTTTCGTAATAACAGAATCTAACTTTCGAAGAAATCTTCACAAATAGAACTTTCTTAATTTTAAGAAACCGCATAAGATTGTTCATCATTTTCCTGCTATATAAATCTGCTCAAAAATCTTAGAATAGTTATCATAATTACTTCAAAATTAATAAAAATTAAATAAATTAAAAAGTATAAGAATTTATTGCTATAAACGATAAATACATATATATATTCATTATATCAATGATACTTATGTATTCGTAAAATCGTGACAACGAAATAAAATAAAAACAAGATATAAAAATATAATAAAAAAAGTATATAAATATAAAAATACGTGGCATTATAGAGACCACGTTCGGAGACTAACTATATTTAAGAGGTTAAAAACAGAAATGACATAAGACTTTTAAACGTATATTAAAGTATATCTGAATATCAGGTAGTTTGAGAAAAATACAAAGGATTATAAAAATAATACTTTAGTATCAACTTGTATCATTTTTTATTCGTAGCATTTCTAACAACCACCAACTCGTTTTCGACTTAAATAAAAAAGAACTCTAAAATCCGATTTCTACAAGAGAAAGGAATTTAAAAACTCGGATTACGATGGCCACTAAACCTCAAAACTTGTTCCATCCCTAAATTCTGTCGCCGTGAATTCTCGATTGTATAACGTCACCGTAAAATTTAGTCACCATCATCACCGCATAGTCGTTTGCATATCAAAAATATAACGTTTTTTGGTTTTTTTTTATGTCTGAGAAAAGCTACGAGAAGCTATCAATTCTCGACGTCCAACCTCCCTCCCTTCCCTTCTTCAACTCCGATTTTATTCATTTCGAGGCGAATTCGTAGAAAAACACAAATGTTTTCGAGGAAACTGATAACCGTCTCGAACAGGTCGAGGCCTGGCGATTTTGGTATGTAGGCTGAGGTCATAAATTGATGATTTTTATTCGACCTGCAAACTGCTTTCACTGCCACCCGATGAATGCTTGCTCGAGCGCATTGAACGCAACAAAATCAAAATCACAATGAAAAATTTAATAAAACTCCACTTTTTATTCATTTCCTATTTTTTTTTTGTGTGTCATCTAATAAAAGTTTCAAAAAATTCAACTTTAAATCGCTCTCCCAAATAAAAATTGGACGAAAAATTAATAAAATTTCGAAATGTAATCATTTTAATTACTCGAAAAAAATTTAACACTTAAAACTGCTTTTCTATAAAAAAAAAAAAAAAAAAAAAATAAGAAACGAACGAAACGAAGAAACATGGTTATGCTCTTCCCAATTTTCGACCCCAACAATTAGTC